CAGGAAGCCTCCCTTCATCTTCCTCACGCCGCCAAGGAAAACCACTTTGCCCTGACCCGTTACAGGAAAAAAAACACCGTTTTGGGGTGGCTCCCTGGATTCCAGGAGGGTGTCCTGCCCCCCTGCTTCCAGTAGATGGGGTTTTGTTATACATTCTTAAATCTCCTCCTATGCAAAGTGGAGCATCTTTCCCCCTTCCTGACTTTGCAGGGCTGAGAGGACCTTAAGGTTCCCTTTTAATATCTGAAGGGACTTTCCAAGCTCCAAGGATGCTGAGGGGCTCTGGGCAACCTGGGTAGTGGAAAGTGTCCCTGTCCACGGCAGGGGGTTGGAACTGGGTGGGCTTTAAGGTCCATTCCAAAGCAAACCATTCCAGGATTCTGGGATTTGCCAGCCCCTAGACTGGGATGCAGCACCTGTGGGTATTGTTCTCCCAGGAAGGATGGAGTGGGAGGCTTGGAAACACATTTAACCCACGAGCACCAATAAGCAGAACTTGGTAATCCAAGCTTTTTTGGTGAAACACCCAGAAAACAGGGACTAAGGGTTATTCCCACTGGGATTTAGGATCAGCAGCCCCTAAGAGAGGCTTCATTCACCGTGGATCACACACCACATCCTTTTAGAGTCCTGTTGTCACCTTTCAGTCTGGCTGGAAAAAGAGAGAGCATGGAGAGCCACAGGGATTTTCCATGTGTGTGGGGTTGCACTTGGGAAGGACCAGCCCTTTCCATCAATATTTTCCTACAGCCTTGAAGCACCAGCAATCACAGCCACAGCTTCCCAGCAGCACGGCCAGACCCTCCAGGGGAGGCGGGTTTGGGGTTTCATAAATATTAATGTTTAAAAAAAAATAATAAAGGAAAGCTGTGTGGGTTGGCCAAGAGCAAAGGAAAACTGGTGGGAGCAGCAAAGCCCTCCAGGATTTGGCATCTCCTCTTGACTTTCCCCAGTCAAGTGGAGCAGCCTCATCCCAAACTCTCCCTGGGGGGATGAATCCTATGGTACCAAAAACCCACTGCACCAAAGCCCCACTTTATGTCCATTTTCCCATGATATCCACAAGCTGGGAGACACAGTGGTGAGACAGGGTGGATTACCCGAAGCTGGAAGCATGGATGTGCATGGATATACTGTCCTCCTGCTCTCCCAAGGTTTGTCTCACGGGAGAAGACACCTTCAGAATCCATCCTGGGAATAAACAAGCCGATGTGCTGTGGTGGGTGTTCTCCATTGGTTTTCCTTCCCATTGCAGTTCCCAGTCTTTCCTTTCAGTCCCAGCAAAAGCCTTTGGCTGTGCTGGAATTCTCCATGCCTTAGGAAGCCTTGTGCTTCTTATTCCAACTGGGACATTTATCGCTTTAAAAGAAAAAAGAAGCAAAAAGGGTGATACGGCTCCAAAACACCCAAACCTCAGCCCAGATTTCCTCCTGGAAAACAATCCCAGATTTCCATGAACTCCACAGCTATTTATAAAGCAGCAAATGAGCGGCAGGACTTGGAATGACAGTGGAGCTTTACCAACAGGAACAGCCCTTGGAAGTGACTACAGGACTACTGTCCCTTCCCATCCCTATTGTGTCTCCCACACCCGGAGCACCCGGATACAGGGGGCTCTTTGTGTCCATCCACAGCCCATTCGTGCTTTCAGGGAAGTCTCACATGGAGCAGCAGATTTTGGGGAGAGGGTGGTCTGGGGGACAGCCCAGAGCACCCACAGTGACCCATGGATGGATAATTTTCTAGCTGGAAAGTTCAAAGCTCCAGCTGCCAACTCCGATTGCTGCTGATGGGATAGGAACAGCCCCCATGTATCCCTTGTCCCCTCTCCCTCCAGGCACAGCCTGATATTTTGGGGATACCCAAGGTGGTGAGAAGGAGGCAGGGACCAAACCCTAATGCACAATATTCCCCAAACTTGCTAATGTGGGGAGAGAGGAGCCCGCTGTGCCGAGGAAAACCCCTCCATGGGGCACTCACCCCTCTTGCATTCCCAGACCGAGCCCAGGCATCTTAAATCCAGGGATTATTGTAGCATTCAGACACCCTCAATGTTCCTGCTCTGAGCTCAGATCCCTCAGATGGGGTGGAGGTGCTGATTTGGGGTGTCCAAAGGCAGCACCTGCTTGGGAGGGGCTGTTGGCAGCTCCGCTCTCCCCATAACCCCAGGAATGGGGTTGGAGCTGCAGCAAGGCCAGATCCATGTGCTGCTCCTCCAGGGAAAGCCTTCAAAAAGCCCAAACCATCTATTTTTTTTTCTTAAAACAAGGCACAGCTGCTGATAAAAGCTGTGGCTGCCAAGAGAAAGCACCTGCACCCCATAACCTCAGCCCGGGAGTTTGGTCTTCCAAAATCCCTTGGTTTTCCAGCAAACCCTTTGGCAGAGGGGTTAAGGGAGGATAATGGGGAGGCTTGACATGTCAGGGAGCTGCTGGAGGTGACCACAGGTGAAGGAGCTCTTGGAAAGGACCCTTCTGCTTTATCTGCCTCTCCCAATCTTCCTAGAAACCTGCTGAGCGGATTCGCAGCCCACGTGCTGCCAAATCCAACCCCGGCCACCGTTTGGATGATGAGGTCAAAATTCTTCCTGTGGAGCTGAGCCATCACAGGCTGGAAAGGTGCAGGACAACCTTCTCAACACCCACATGTCCCTAGAGGAGTGACACTCCCCAGCTACACACAGAACACCCACCCAGGGGACCACCGCGGGATACCCCGGCTCCGTCCATCCCTCTTCCCCGTGGGGGTCATTAGCAGCCCTGAAGCCCTGTGCTCCCTAAGGACAGTCTTGGTTCTTTTGGGAGAGCTCCAAGGCACACCAAACCCCAGCCCTCGCTCCTGGCTTCCATCCCCAAAATGCCCTGGGGTGTAGTTTTAGTGGCACAGCCCTGCTGGGCAGGGAGGAGGCTGCAGGTCGCATGTCCCCGCGGAACCACGCGGCTCCGAGGGGCTGCAGGGGAGCTCTGGCCTCCTCCTCTCCAGGGAACTGGCTTGGACTCACCTCCCCGGGGCTCTGAAGCTGCAGGCTCTGCTCTGAGGAAGGCACAGATCTTCCTCTTCCTCCTCTTCTTTGTCTTTTTTTTTCTTCCTCCTCTTCATTTTCTTCTTACTTCCCTTCTTTTTCTCCCTCCTCCTCCTCTTCTCCATTTCCTTCCTTGCCCAGCTCCTGCACACCCCCCACCCCCCTACCGACTTAGGATTTATGGGGTTACCCCAGTGCTGCCCCCCAGGATCCACACAGAGGGAACCCCCTCAAACTTCTCCCCACCCATCACGGATGCTGCATCCTGAAGATTTTATACCCAGGAGGGGAATATCCCTCTGGAGAGCCAAGGAGGGGGACTTCCAGTAATTAGCAATTACCAGCCCTGGCGAGCTCCCCTGGCCTCTCCCAAAGCAGAGCCCAGCACTAATGAGGTTTTGTGCTAATTATAGTGGGCAGGCAGGGCCAGGAGTCCTGGTGAGGGGCTGCAGCAGCTTTTGGCTGGAGACCTTTCTGGATTCCTTGGGATATAAAACACACCGGGGTTAATCCAGGACAGCAATCCCAGCCATGCCCAGCGCTCCTCCATTCCCAGGAATGCTGGGGGGGCTGTTCCAGCACTGGCCCTGCTTCCTGCTCACGAGCTGGTCCTTTTTCATCCATCTCTTGGAATAATTCCTGCTCAATATTGCAGGATTCTGCCGTAGCTGGCATTGCACCGACTTGGAGATCGAGCCAGCAAAGGGAAATCCAGCCCTTTGGACAAACCTTGGGGATATTTGGGAACTGAGCAACGTGGATGAGGCACCCAAAGCCTGTGCAATGACAGATTTGAGCATGTGTCCAGCATCCCAACAGGGCTTAATCCTTCTTAAACTCTTCTCTTCCCATCCCAGCAGCTGGCTCAGCACTTCCCAAATCCCAGCCAGGGCAGCAACACCCACCCCAGCTGCTTGATCACAAACCTCAGCCCAGCTCCCACCATTCATCTCCCTTGGGAATGCTATAAACCCCTTAAAATTAAAGAAAAACCCCCAAACCTTGTCCAGCTCTCCCCCTACACAGAGCCCTGAGCAAACTTTAATTCCCTAGATTAAATGTAAATCAATAAAGTAGGGATTTTAATGAAGATGATGGGAAGGAACAGCCACAAATTACTGGCCTGGCCTGGCCCCTCATGGGGCTCCTTTTCCCCCCAAGGTGTATGGACAAAGGTGGGATTTAACAAACCCCTTGGAGGGAAACCCCTCAGACAGACCCAGGCAGCGCCAGGAAACACTTTTGGAAGCTGCAGGGTGTCCAAGTGTGTTCCATGGCAGGTTGGGGATGTGGGATAAGTGGTTTCCCAGGCTGTGATGCTCCGGGGAAGCTCTCCCAGGCACACATCCAGCCATTCCCCTCCCTAGGGATGGAGGGACCCAGGACAGTGCGTGGTGCTGGGGCATGGGTGGAGGGTAAGGGGGATGCCCAGCCCTAATTTAAGGTGATCCCACAACACACACCCCTTTGCTTCTGCTCCCTGAGAGGGACCCAGCACCCTAAAAATAACCCATGGGAGCATCACAAATGCTTGAGAACTCGGCTTTTATTGTCACAGGACACAGCAGCAGACAATGGGGTCGGTCACAACAGGGGGGACAAGGGGGAGGTCACACCACAGGGTCTCAGCACAGCCACCCTGAGCAGCCACAGAGCCCCCAGCACCAACAGGGAGGGAGGGAAACATGAGCTGTGACCTGGATCCTTCCCATAAATTTCCTGCCCCATCCCTGTGCAAACAGACAAATTCTCAGCCCGTGGTGATTCTCCCCTGGGGAATGGGGAAATTAATGAACAGACACAGAGGCCCCTGCAAGCAACAGCATTTGTACCTCCTGGAATTGGTTCCATCGTGTCCTTGCAACTGAGTGGCAGGGCATCAACGGGAGAAGCTGCCCCGGGAATGCTGCTCTTCTGGGATGGAGAAGCGGGATCTGAGCCCAAGGGCTCAGTGTGCATCCGAAATCTGGGCAGGTCGATTTGCCTCCCCCAGGGATGGGCTGCCCCAGCGAGGTGGAGATGTCAGGCCTGGGGAGACTTGGAACCTTGGAAAGCAGGGAGCAGGTGGTGGATTCAGCAGGGATGGAGCATCTGCTGCCCTTCTTTCCAGGGTTTATTTACAGTCTCACTAGAGGAGAGCAAGCCAAGGGGCCTGAAATGTTAAAAAATGGCTTTCTGGAAAAGCCAGGGATTAACAGGCTTTTTCCCCCTGCTGTAAACAGATCCCTGTCTGCTGTAATGTGCCCAGGGTTCCAGCAGCTGGTCGGGAGAGGGGCTCCAGCAGCCCCTCCACAGCCGCTTCACTTCACAAATCCAGGGGAAAACTGGGGTGGAAGTTCAGCCCTGGCCTCTGGCAGGGGCTGGAGATGGGCAAACCCAGCTGGCCTGGTTCTCTGGGGAACAGCAGTGGAGGCAGAGAGGGACACAGCCCCCTGTCACCCTCCTCCGTATGGTGTGAGGGTCTGGGGGCACTTAGGGGTGGGTGTGGGCAGGGATCACCCCCGGAGCAGCTGGATGGGCTGGCAGGGTTTGAGAATCCAGGGGGTTTTACCAGCCACAGTGGGCAGCAGAGGCAGCAGGGTCCATCCCCAGGGCAGGGACAGCTGGTGGCATTCCAGGAGCCAGCGCAGTCCTCAGGGTCACCCATTGTGGGGGCTGGATTTGGGGCACAGACAGACACAGCCAGCTTAGGGCAGTAAGGAAAGACCCCCCAGATGTGTCTGTGCTGCGTCTGAGCCTTGCCAAAACACAGCTGAGCCTCCAAAGGTCGGCCCAACACCGCTGAAGTCACCACGGGCCAAGACGCTGCTGACTGCAGCCATGCAGGAGGGGGAAGAGGGAACAAAGGGGTCAGAGGGATGAAGAACATCTTCCCTGCTGGCACAAAGCCTGTTTGTAAGAACCCACGGGCTCTTGTATCCCAATCCCACCCTCCCCACTCTCCACCTTCCCCTTTGGGGAGCCAGCACAGCCCCACCAGCCGCCCCCGACCCCAGGGCCAGAGCAGCAGGATGAGCCGTCCCGCCGTCCTGGAGCCAGGACACTCACTCAGGGATGTAGTCCCTGAAGGAGTTAAAGCTGAGGCTCCGGCCCACAGAGTTCAGGGTGGAGCTGGCCTGCATCTTGGGAATCTTCTCCATCAGCTTGGACGCTGTCCTCCTCTTGAAGGAGCCCGGGGAGAAGTGCCCCTGCCTCAGCAGCTCCTGGTAGAGGCTGCTGAACACGGCCACCGGCTCCTCGTAGCTGTCCCGGGTGGAGATCTCGTAGAAAGGAAGCTTCAGGGCTTTGGAGAGGTTCTCACCGTCCTCCGTGGACACCATCCTGTCGAACTGCAGGTCCTTCTTGTTGCCCACGATGACGACGGGGGGCTGCTCGGCGCCGCCGCTGCGCTTGGGGCTGGCGTGGAGGTGGTTGATGAGGAAGCAGAGCCGCATCACCTCGTCGAAGCTGCACCGGTCGGTCACCGAGTACACCACGGCAAAACCATCGCCCCACTTGATCTTCTCCTCGATCTGCAGGGAGTCCTCCTCCTGCCGGGGCAGACGGGCTCCCGTTAACGCCTGTGGAATTCCAGCACTGCCGGGCTGCAACCCGGAAAAACCTCCCGAGGGCCCGGGCCCCGTCCCCGGGAAGGTTTTGGCTGTGGGTTCGCAGAGAGCAGTGACCTGCAGGCAATGCCTGGGGCAGGGGCGTGGTGGTTTGGGCAGTGTGGCAGATGGGGATGGCCATCACCCCTGTCCTGGCATGGGTAAGGGGGGAATCACTGCTCCCTGGAGCCACCAGGATGCTCCACCGGCAGAGCGGTGCCACGCACCAGCAATGGGAATGTGGAAACATTCCCCTGAAGCCACACCATGACTGACATTAGAGAGACATAAATTCACCAAAACGTCCTTTTTCTGAGATGAGCACCATGAGGGGTGTTCCAGACACCACGGATTAAGGCCAGTGGGAGAGCAGGGATGGCCTCCCATGGCAGGTTGCTCTGCTCCAGTGGTGTTTTCCCGGGCTCTGAACGGCCTGAGCTCACCTGTCCTGCCGTGTCAAGGATCTCAAAGTGCACCATCTCCCCGTCAATGACAGCCACGTGCCTGTAGATCATTTCTAGGGGGGACAGACAGCAAAGGTGTGTGAGAGAACCCCAGAGGAGCAGCCACAGCCCGGGTGGCTTTGATGGAGCCGTGACGGAGAAGTGGATTTTCACCTGCTGCATCCCACAGCTCTGTGGCCTCTGTTTCAAGGGCACATCTTGAACCAGCCTGTCTCCCCCCGCCCAGGAAGGGCAGCCCTGTGCTGTGGCATCAGGCCCAGCATCTCCCATGGCACCAGAGACCCCAGGACACATGGATGGCTGAGGGGACAGCAGTGAACAAAGCGTGGGAGCAACATGGGGTCACGGGGCAGCAGAGGGAAAACAGATAATAATAATAACAACAGAAAGGGAAAACGGGATTCAGGAACCAGGGAGAGGTCAGGATGGCTGGGGGCTCTGCCCACTGCCAGTCTGGACAAGGAGGAACAGGAGGGAAAGTGATGAGTTCGGGACAGTTAACTCTGTGACAGCACCAAGGAAAAGGAGTTTCTCTACCTAGAGTTGGATCATAGTCTCCAATGAATCTCCTGGTGATGAATCGCACGGTCAATGCTGGAAAAAAAACACACAACAAAGCCTGTTATGGTTGTCAGATCAAGCTGCAGGGAAACATCAGCTGCCTGAGGCAGGAGGGATGGAGGATGGATCTGTGGGAAGGATGAAGCAGGGACGTGCAGGAGGAACAGAGCAGGAACCTGCAGAATGTATGGAGCAGGGACCTGTGGGAGGGGTCCCATGAATTTCAGCCCAGTCTGTTTAACCTGACCCAGACACAGCATGTGGAGAAGGGAAGGCTGCTGGCACCGAATTTCATGGAATTCACCAAAAGGCCAAAGTGGGAGGAACACAGGGCACGGCAAACCAGGATCTCCTCCCTAGGCCAGCCATGCCTTGCAGGAAAGCAGTGCTGGAAGTGACACCAGGAGCTGGGAGAGGAGCTGAGCTGGTGTCTGGAGGATCAGCCCATTCTCGGTCCTCACATCCCCTCCCTGCTATACCTGAGCCTGGGAATTCACATCCCTGGGATGCTGGGCACAACTGGGGACCAGTTTCAACTTTGCAAGGCCTCCAGCACCCCAGCCCCTTCTGATGCTGCCACAGCACCAACACAGGGATCTGCTCCTTTGGAACAATTTTTCCTCCTTGCAAGGGCAAGGAGCAGCAGGAGCAGCCACAGCTCGGGCAATTAAACCCCCTCATCCAATTACAGGTTTCCCTGTGCCAGAGCCAAGCCAGGCAATTCCCAAATTGCTGGCAGGGCGAGGGCTGCTGGTGCTGTAGCCTTGCCCAGCCACTCCATCAACACAGCAAGGGCTCCCTCCTGGCTGCCTCTCATCAATCCCAGCCAGCTGGGCCGAGGGATCCAGACCCTGGCTCCAGAGCAGGGCTGGGAGGTGGGCAAGCTCCCTGGGCACTGCAAAAAACCCCCACAGTCTCCTCAGATTTTCCTGTGAGAGGCAGGAAAAGCTTTGCCGTGGTGCAAAGTCTCCAGACAGGAATTTCCAGCGATGGGGAGAGTGGCACCGACGCCTGGGGGCAAACTTGTGGTTGGGAAGCTGAGGAGAGTTCAGAAGCACAGGTGGAAGTGGTTCCTGAGCCATTCAAGGTGTTAATGATGGTAATGGAGATGGGAGTGAAAGGCAGTGGAGAGGCTGAGAGCTGGCTTGGAAAGGCAACAGGAGTGGAGAGGGAAATTAGAGGAAAATGAGTGGGAACAGGGGGAAAAAAGAACAGCCAGAGCAAGGCAGGAGTGCGGATCCAGGAGGGAGAGGATGGAGAAGCTGCACACCAGGTGCCAGCGCAGCGGGAGGAAGGGAGCAGAGCAGGAGTGTGACGGGAGAATAAACCTCAGCAGTGATGAAAACCCCTCCAGAAACACAAGGGGGGATGTAAAAATCCACCACCAGGCCAGCACGACGCTCCAAGCTCACCTTCCCTGTGCAACCTGGGGTCAGTTTGTCCTATCTGCCCATCAGCAGATATTCCCAGTGTCCTGCCCTTACAGACCCACACCAGACCAGTCAAGATCTGTGTGTTTGTCCGGGGAATGTGGCATCCCACCTAAGTCAGGCTTCCTGCTCCACCAGCCCCAACAGCTTCTCCTGCCTCTCACAACCTACCCGGCTCCTGTTTGGGGGATTCGCCGTCCCCTCACCCCCCAATCCGTCTGTGGGTTTAAACCTGCCCAGCAGGGAAGGGATTTGATGGGAAAAGCAGATTATTTAGCCAAACTGCTGTGAAGAGATAACCAGGGATCCCTGCAGGATGCACCTATCGGCACCTTCAAAGAGGCGATGGAATTATCAGGGGGAGTGGGACGAGCCAGGCTCGGTCTGTAGAAAGCACCTGATTGTGTGTCATATGTCAGGCAGCCACCCAAAGCTGGAGCACATGCTGTGGGATGAGAAGAGGAGCCAATTAGATTGATTAAAAATTGGCTGGAGTGCAGGAACAGGAGCGGAGTTGCCAATGGGGGAAGCGGCCGCAGGCAGAGCGGCCGTGGCCACCCAGCCTTATAAGGAGGTTTCTTTCCCCATCCTGAACATCAGTAACCCCGGGGAGGGCTCTCTAAGGAGAGCCCCAGAGCTGAAAGGGTTAATTGTGTGTAAAATCTGGGCTCCAGAGATGGCTGTGGGCTCGAGGGGTGATTTACCTGCCACAGGGAGGGCTGGGCACCTCGTGATTGCTCTGAGCGCCTGCCCACGTGCTGCCCTGTTTGTGCTGCTGTGGAACGGTGTCCAGCACCGATCCATCTTCTGTCCACGTGCTGCAGCAGAGCTCTGCTCTGGATTATGGCAAAGTTTACGCTGGGCAGCAGCAGCAGAGGATAACACAAGCCCTGGCCAGGCTGCGTTTCCAGCTGCCGAGGGTGAGACGCACAGCCCAGATCCTTAAACCACAGGGCTGCCCCCAAACCCCATTCCTACTCGGAGGGTCTGTGACCTCAGATCACCACACCCTGAAGGTTTCCAAACTGCTCCAAAAAACCCCAAACTCTTTCTGAGAATTAAGAAGGATTTTTTTCCCTCTTGCAGCTGCCCAGATATGAGCTACCCTCTGGTTGTTCCCACCCCTCGGCTCTCCCAGCCTGGTTCTGTGTCCTGCAGGGTGGATGCAGCATCTTGTCCTGGTGATGCTCCAGTGTGGGGCCCACTCACATCCTGGGGGCTGCTCCCTGTTCCTGGCACACTCCTCTTCAGGAGCCACGTATCAATGACCTCCCTGTGCCCTGATTCCATGGCCTCTGTCACCGTCACATGGGCAAGGACCCCGCTCCAGGAGGACACGAGTGTTGATGGCACCAACAGAAGCCACAGCTGAGCCCAACTGGAGGAACTTTCAAAGGCCCTCAGCACGATCCCACCCGAGGGAGGAGGCACAACAGCCCCTCAACTGCCTGCAGGAAGGGCCTGAAGCTCCCAGGAATCTGCTCTGTGCCGGGTGGGATCCACACCAGCAGGAAGACACGTGTTCAGGCCGGGGTGGGGGTGAGCCAAAGGCTCTGTGTGTGCTGCACAGGCTCCATCTGCTCTGTCGAGGCCGAATACTGCCCTGGTGCTCTGGGTACTGCAGAGCTGAGCCCCATCCCGTGCTTCCGTGTTGCTCGTGGAGAGCTGGGAGCTGCCTCCTCTAATTCAATCAGGGAATTATAATTTTTCACTAGTGCCAGTCGCTGTGCACGGAAAAGCAACTCCAGCGGCTGCAACAGCCTGCGGCACCTGCACAGGTGATGCCTTTTCCAAAGGGGCAGGACATTCCCTTTCCCCGAGGACGTGGCAGCTTGGCTGTGTCCCAGAGGCTCCCCCAGGCTCTGCACGGATCATGGATCATTGCAATAAACCAGTGTGGATCCACATGAATACCCACCTTCCCCTGCCTCTGACCCCCTCCTGGCACGCTGGGTGCCGCGGAGGGCACCTTTGCCCCCAGGTGCTCACAGCCCGGGATAGAGGAGTGGGAAGGGGGAAAGGATGATCCCCAGGAAGGAATACGGTGAAGGAAGGAGCTGAGATGCTCCCGGCAGAGCATCCCGAACCCCCACCCCGACGGGCGCAGACGGAGAGCGCCGAGCAAGGCTCAGGGAAAGAGAGTTTTCCTGAAGGAAAACAGCCAGGCGCCGTGCAGGAGGCTCCGCAAAGCCGCTGCGGGAGCTGGGAACGAGCAGCGAACTCCCAACACCTAGGAAAGCCCAAACCCGAGCCCAGTTTTTGGGAAAGCTCTCTCGGTCAGCGATGTGCCCCCCGGACCCACCACTCCCGCGCAGCCGGGGACCCCTTGGGCACGGGAAAACCCCCCGTGGGACGAGCCCCGGCTGCGAAGTGTCCCCGCGGGGAACTCGAGGGGAGGGAACCTCGGTGCCCTCAAACGCCATGGGCTGGGGGACACCGGGGTTATGTTCCCCATCCCGGCTCTCTAAGGGACACGGGAGGGTCGGTCCGTCTGCCCGGGAAGAAGCCAGAGGGGAGACACCGGGGGGACGCCTGGGGATGCCAGGAGGGTACCGGGGAATGCTGGAGGCATGCGGGGGATGCCGGAGGGATACCGGAGGGATGCGGGGATGCCGGAGGGGTGCTGGCGGGAGATGCCGGGGGGACACCGGGAGGATGAGGGGGAAGCCCCGTCCTACCTGTCTTGCCCACTGCGCTCTGCCCCAGCACGACGAGGCGCAGGGTGCGGGCCGGGCTGAGGCTCACGGAGCGGCGCAGGGGCCGCGGGAAGCTCATCCCGGCGTCGGGCCGGGGCTGCCCCGGGCTCCGCCGTCGTCCCCGGCGCTGCTGCACCGGCTCCGCCCCGGGGGCCGGGCTGGGCTCAGCCCCGGGCGGGCCCGGCTGATGCCGCCCTCCTACTCCTCGTTCTCCTCCTACCCCGTCCCGGAGGCTCTTCGGGAATCGTAGCTCAGTTTTCCCGCACGCAGCAGCCCAGGACCCCTCGCAGCCGGCCGGGAGAGCTGCTCACCGCAGAGGGGCAAAGCCAAGGCTGGACGGGGCAGGGACTGACCTGGACCGGTGAAAGGTGCCCCTGTGCATGGCAGGGGGTGGAACTGGGTGGGCTTCGAGGTCCCTTCCAACCCAAATGATCCTGTGATTCCACGAGTCTGTGAAAGTGAGGAAAGAATGGAAAAGTGGTGCAACAACTCACCAGCCAGGCAACCATGGCCAGGGTGCTGCCTGTCCCTAAATCCCTGCCTGAAATCATGATTTCCTCCACGTCTGTGCATAAGACAAATTAATAGAGATGACAGGAGGTGGGTCAGCCTCAGCCTTTCCCCTCAGCTCCCCTTCCCCTCAACCACAAGCACGGAAAGGAGTGAACTCCGGCTCCAACACAAACCACCCACTAAAATCCCTGTGGATACCAAAGAGCAGGGACTTCACACCAGGCCTGGAACCAAACTTTGTGTGTTTTGGTGCAGCAGCATCACCAGGCTGTTAAACACCAGTGTAAGAGTGTACCCAGGAACAAGGTGTGCAGGTAACGAGTGAACAGCTCAGAGCAGTACCTGGAGCGGGCAGGGATGTGTGTTGGGTGTCCTGGAAAAAAGGGAAAAGCCTGGCAACACCTCAGCTGTCTCCATCAGACTCCAGGACGCCGCTGGCCTGTGGGGTGCAGATCCCAGGTGACACCAGTGCTGCAAACACCAGCAGAAGGGACCTGGCCAGGAGTGTGGAGCCCTCAAATGCCCACACTGGGGACTCAGTCCCTTTTCCAAGGGCTGCAGCCATTTCTCTGGCACAGGGATCTCTGTCTGCCCATCTCGGGTGACTTGGCACTGGTGCTGGAGGGAACATGAACCCACCTGGTATTTATAGCCTGTATCAGATGTCCAAAGGGAACACTGCTGGTGCCTATGGAGACATCAGCACTCACCCAGCCCCAGAGGGTTATCAGCAGCACAGCTGCCAGCAGGATTAGTGCTGGAGAGGGGCCCTGGATAACGCAGGGGCTGCTGTGGGGAGCCTGAAGAGAGAGAGCAGACCTCACCCAAAACCCCACTTTGCCATCACGTGTGTCTCCCTGTGCATCAGCCACTGGCAACAGCCCTGCTCCAGCTTCTCCAAAGGCTCATGGCTACATCTGGGGCCCAGAAAACACCAGCAAGGCAATAAACCTCGGATTTCGGGACAAAAGCTGATTCCCAGCTGAGGAACAGCAGGGTGTCAAGAAAAAGAAGTCTCCGTTATGATCCTTTCCTATTTTTAGCCCCGTTTCCTACGGAAATGAGATGTCTGCAATCAAGTCCTCTTCTTGCCTGATCCTCTGCAACACCAGTTTTAATACATTGCCTGATTTCAGGCAAATGAGGGATAAGCCACAGAGAAAATCCTTTTCCTGCAAGTTGCGTGACAAGAAAATGGCCAAATTTCACGGAAAAGCAACCCCTGTGCTTTTTGGAAGGCAGGAACTGGCCCGCAGGTCCCTGGCTGGGGAAATCCAGAGTAATTCCTACTGCTCCAAGGGATGCTGCCCTCGTGCTGGAAGCCAGGCAGTGACACCTGTACACCTCTGCCTGCCTCAATTCCAAGTGCATTAACAGGGCACAGACTTGCAGGGATGAGGGAACAAACGGACAAGAAGCACGAAGTTAACATGGAAGCCACCTTGGGAAAATCACTTCACCTCCCTTTACACCACCCCCAGGACCAGGCTGGATTGGATCACTGTGACCCAATCCAATCCAATCCCAGCCACTCCAGAAAAAATACACCCCTGGATTCTTTAGGGAAAGGTCAGTGTGTGGGCCCTGCAGCTGGGAGGGGGTTGTGTCCCTGACAGCACATCTGGGGACTACCCAGAGAAACTCCTGCTCCTCACGCACGGATCTCCTTGGCATGGTGGGAGCCACATGTGTGTTCCCACAGGAACACTCAGCGCCACGTCCCACGTTTGCCAGGGAACGTTTGGCTGGGTGACAGTGGAAACAGGACTTTATCATCTGCCATCACTGAGTAAGCCACCTGTGGCAGAGCCAGGTGGGAGAGGTGCAGGGGATATTGCTTTCTGCTGAAATATTTGTGGCCGGGCCATTCCATACTTGCTGTTTTATAAAGACATGGAGTCTGCTCTGGGAAAGAGGCCAGGGGCTCCCATGAATCACGGCCCTGCAAACAAAAAAATCAGCTGAAATGAAAAGTTGGCCTAAAGCAAAGAACCAAATCTCCTCAGGCTGCAGTCTCAGATCAGGGGGATCCTGTTCTGTGCTCCAAACCACTTCCCTACTGGATCATCAGCTATTTGACAGCTGCCAAAAAAATTGAACTTCATTGCTTCTGAAAGACAGCAATGGTGTGGTTTTATTTAGGAAAGGGAAATAAAATAACAGCAGTCCCTTTTCTCTACATTAGATGATCCAAAGGCACGGGAAGCCAGCAAGTCCATGCAAGAGCCAACTCCAGTTTTCAAAAATGACCAAGGCATCTCGAAGTATCTCCCACAAGGTTTAGCTCCTCTCCTGAGCCTCCATTTCAGGGGCTCAAACCTGTTTCCAGCTCACCCATCACATTTAATTGTCACTCACTGATGACTGCACAGACATTCCCGTATGCGGCTCGGCTGCCGGGGGAGTTAATGCCAGATGGAGCCATCAGGGATAAAACCAAAGCCATGCTGCCCTGTCAGTAAACACATTTTGGGTTGTTACAGCAAACCCAGTACCCCCAAGGGTCCTCCCAGCCTTTAGGCCCTCACCTTCCTCGTGCCCTCCCTGGACTCGCCCCGTTCCTTCTGAACCTGATCCCTGGCCCTGCTGCAGCCGTGAAACCACGTTCACATCCAGGGCGAGGCACAGGAGCAGGGACATGGATCCCAGTTGCTTCTCCACGTGCTATAAATAGCAAGAGGGAAAACAGATGAAAGGCCCTGAGCCCCAGCACTGCCCAGGCGCCCCGGCTGCACCCGGACTTCTCCATGCGGGATTCGCATCAGCCCAGACCCGCTGGGGGAGCATTCCCTTTATTTTATTAATAAAAGGCTGGTTTTTAGGCCACAGGAGATGATAAAACCTCTAGCACAAGAAAAATCCAACCAGCACGGGTTCCTGGTGACCAGCTCTGTCTGTCACTGAAGCAGATTCCGAAGCGCGTCCGGATCACGCTGAGAAAATAAATCTGGCTCCATGTCAGAGTTCAAAGACGCCCTCACGAAGCCATCAGGGGAAAAAAAACACATGGAAGGGACAAATTAACAGCATTTCCCCCCCTGCCCCAGGGCCTGAACAACGTGTCCCGAGAGCTTTCCAAGCTGCTCTGCCACTGGATGAACTCCGGCAGCTCACGGGGCTGGCAGAGCGTGCGATCCACGTAACGGAGTTGCTAAAATCCCTTTGCTGCCCTCTGGGTCCCCAGAGGAGTGTCCTGCACTTAGTTTTTCCACAGGAGCCGGCTGTTGGGAAGGAGGGCATTGCCACAGACCACTTCTGCCATGCTCCATCAGGCTCCACAAACAATGGGGCTCCTCGCTGCAGGAAGTTTCCCACCACGGGAATGGCTTTGCTTGGGAAGCTTGGTTTTAGAACACAGAGCAATGTGCCCAGGGAAGGGAGAGGAACCCCATCATGGAGGTGATTTAAACCTCCACAAATGCTGCAAAAAGTGATCCCGTGGGATGACCAGGAGGAGCTGTTTCCCCTTCAGTCACGAGGATGATTTTTACTGTTAGGACGTGAAACCCCAAGTCCAAGCCCCTCGAAGGTGCAACATCTGAGGCACAAAGCGGGGGGGTTGGAACAGGATCAGTGTTTAAAATGATGGAAACCTCGCTCTGAAGCAGCTGGACCTGAGGGGGAGGGAAAAACCTGCAGCCACAAAGGAATTCAGGTGCCACAGGCCACTCCTGAAAGGGCAGAGGAGGAAGTCAGGGCTGGGCTCAGCACAGAGGAAATCAGGGATTCAAACACCTCCCTTGGCTCCTCCCAGAGTCCCTCTGGGAGGACACACACCTGGGATCCAGGGAGCAGCAGGGCCAGGGATCCACTCAGCTGCACCCGGGTATTCCTGCCCAAAACGGGGGGATGCCAGAGCAGAGCCGGCAGCGCAGCAATGGCACCTCCTGAGTAATTTCTGACAGCTATTCCCAAGCAAACCTTGCAGCTGGCAAGAAAACAACGCTTCCTCAGTATGGGAAATGTCAGAGCTGCACAGCCAGTTGTCCTGCTGCCGCGGGAGCGCTGCCGGAATTCTTGGAAAGCACAAGAGGAGCAGCACAGGCAGCGGCTTTGTGGCCAGCGGGCAGGGATCAGCGCTGGAATTCGCTCAGATTCCCAGCAGATGCCCTCTGCTCCGGCTCTCCGGCCTCCTTCCAGGGGGGACAGACGCCACAGGGGTGGCCAGAGCCCAGGCCTGGTTCTTGTCTGACCCACGTGGATCTAACTCTGGGCAAAGGATCTCAAATTCCACCCGGATCCGACGTGATGTTCTGTCCTAACAGATAAATTCCCACCGTGAATCAGTACAAACCCGCTTTGGTGAGAAATTCCTCTCCTTAACCTATGTAAGTGCTATTTAGCACCGGGAAGAGGGTCACAAGGATCAGTCCCCAACACATGAAGCCACATGGAGACCTGTGACTTCTCCATGGAAAACCGGGGATCCCTGCTTCCACCTGGAATTGCAAAAAGCTTTTTTTTTTTTTTTTAAATTCCCCTGAAACAAATGTTAAGATAATCCCCTTTTCCCTCAGTCTTAATGAATAATTCCAATAAAAAATGAATACATTGCTCTAATTTTGTATT